TTTAAGTCTAAATAAAAATAAAGTGATAGATTAAAAGGGGTTAACAAATTTCAAAAAGCACTTTCAGTAAACAAAATTAAAATTAAAATTATTGTTATAAAAAAATAATCCTTAAAAATATTTTCGTTCAAAATAATTTGACAAATAAATAAACGTATAAACAAGATGCATTCAAGATTAGGAAGTTAAACAAGGTATTAAGTTAACAATTTTTAGTTAAACCAACTATCCAATAACATTGAAATTAATCGGATATCTTAAGCATGTAATATTTCTAACTTATATGTACAGAGAAAATCTTGTTAGGAGCAAACAACCTCCTATGAGTGCTAATAAATACTACGATAGAGATTATAATTTGTGGTAACCGACTCAAATATGTAGAAGAAAAACAAGACAAATACAGTGCAACACTAATATATAAAATAAAAAAAACAATAATTTAAAGATTATAAATAAAACATTATAATAATATATCACATAAATTTACTCATAAGAGAAAATATGTAATTAAAAATAATAATTTATATGTATTGTAGTGTAATCTTTTTAAAACAAACATTTTGTAACAGGTTATCTTCACAAAATAACATTATTTTTTTTCTTTAATTTTAACAAGTCCACGAACAGTTGGTGTCTATTTAATAATAAAATAATATTTAAATAAAAAATTTATAAAGTTATATTAATCTTATATATATATATATAATTTAAACATCAAAATGACTTTGTTTATAAATAAAAATATTTTTCTATGAAATAGAAATGTTTTTTTTGTTACATAAAAAAATACATATATTTTTTCGAACGTAATATAGACACTAATAACAGTTATGTCTTTGTCAAAAATATAATTACCATAAAACATATGCCGTACTAACTGATTTATTAATTATTTTTTTTAGAATCGTTAACCATTTATTCTCTAACACATTTTTTATTGTTAATTAAATTTATTTTAAAAAATAGAATCACAAATAGAATCCATTAAATGAAAAGTAACCTCACAATTTTATGTTTCTTAACAAATTTTAACAATACTAAAAATGTGTTAAAAATATTACAAAATATTATATAAAAAGGGCAATGTTGGTTTTAGTCTTATAAAACACAATAGTTGTCACACCTACCATATCATATTTTGAAGAAAAAATCCGATATGTTTAAGTAAGAATGAGAATAGTTTATATCTTAAATATATATATTTATGACTTTACTTGTTTAAAATTTGATTTAATTTATTTAATAAAAAATTTAAGTTTAAATTTTTTTAAAAAAATTATTTATAAAAAAATAATCTTGAACTTTTAAAAAGGCATGTCAATAGGGATGAGAATAAGTCAAATCAGACCACACTTTGAAAATACATGTTAAACTTATTCTATAAAATTAATGCTTAATCTTGACTTATTATCTATTATAGATTTTTTTATATAGATTTGATTTATTAACCTAGTTTGCATTAATAATGTTAAATATACTAAAAAATTTAATTTTAAATAAGTCAACAATTGTATTTTTAAATACACATGCGAGCCTTTTTTTTTAATTTACATGAGAAAATATAGTTTACTCTATTAGTATTAAAAATTTTAAAATAAAAAATTAACATGGACACCGACGTATAATCACACACAAATCAAAGGTAATTTTAGAGGAAAAAACTTTCTAAATATTCTCTATATCACATTTAAAGTATTTTAAATAACCAACAATGAAGCAAAAAAAAATGTAGCTACTAGAGTTTTTATTTTCAATTTTTTGATTTCGTTTGAACAAGGAACATAAAATGTTAAGCGTAGTATAAATGTAAAAAATATTGATAATTTTATTTTTGTATTAAAAATTTATTTATTTAATTATATTGTTAATAATGTAATACACACACACATATATATATATATATATATATATTATTTTTATTATATCATATAGATAAATAGGTTGACATATCATATCAAACAAATTTTTTTATAAGTTTAAGTTTAACTTTTTAAATAAATAGATTGTTTTAAAAGTTTAAGTTTGACCTTTTTATTAAATAGGTTAGACAAGTCAAACTTTAAATACATCAAACTATAAGCTCTTATTTAAGGTCTAATCTATTCTTATCCCTACATGTTGACTCAAGTTTATGGAGTCATTGAAAGTTGTGGGGTTAAGTAGAGAGTTATGGTTAGTTGATTGATTTAGCTTAGAGGGAAAGGTGTTATAAGTTTTCTTAAAAATGGGCAAAGATCCTCATGCTTAATATGCATGACAATGCATCAGTTGTATATATGTGCTATTTTGTTGAATGTATTGAGTGGATTGAAGTTGTATGAGGGGTTTGATTACTCTAATTATTTGTGATGTGTTGGTGCTTATCGTTGTCTTTACTGCTTGTTCCGTAACTAGTACTGGTTATATATGTACATATATGTACGTAAATGTTGTTAAGCTAAAGGTGTAAAAGTGTATGAGTTGCTATATGATAAACGAACGTAATATTGTATGAAGACGATGTATTGTTTGATAACTATGATGAAATTATCTAAGTTGTACGGGTGTTTATGTACTTTAAGTTGTATGACAATACGCGATATGATGTAATGAATGATGTTCCTTTTAAGTTGCTTATGTTGCATGTTGTTGTATGACATTGTTTTTGTATCACAAGCTTACCCTATATTTTTCCTCGTGGTTTTAGAACTATTATGATCATATTTGGTATGAGAACATGATAAGATTAGCGGATTGAGTTGTATTGTTCAATGGTGAGTCATGTTGGAGGTGGCTCTCTTTTGGATGTTATCCTAAGATAACTAAGTTTTGTATAGATGTTTGACTAGCAACTAGGTTTATTGTGTATACACTAATTATTTCTTTTGTATGAAGTATGTATATATGTTCAAAAATAGTTATTTTATTTATTACATATATGACCACTTGCATGAGATTTACTTACTTGTTGCATGATATATTAGATAAATGTTTGATGTTTGTACTTCCGTTTAGTTGTTGCTAAATTGTAGTAAATGTAGTGATCAAATAGGTCATTACACATGTTATGCCTAATTTATTAGCGTATTTAACTATACAATATAATAAGAGTTAATTTACATATTATATTAATCATAATATAATTAAATAAATAAATTTATAATACAAAAATCAAATTATCTATAATTTTTAACATTTTCGCTATATTTAAACGCTTAACATTCTCTGTTCATACGAAATCAAGAAATAAAAAATAAAAATTCTAATAGTTACATTTTCACATGCTATTTACCATCATTTTCATAGTTGATTATTTATAATATTCTAAATAGAATATAGAAAATATTTAGAGTTTTTATATTCTTTTTATAAGATTATCCTAACTATTTCATCACAACTTGTGTGTAAGTGTAATTAGTGTATATAAATGTGTATGAGTTGTCCTTCTTTTGTTAATTTTCAAAATTTAATATTAATAATAATGGAATAAATTATTTTTTATTTCACAAATTAAAAAAAAAACTCACATACATATTTAAAAACAAATTTTTGTTAGCTTGTTAATCTAAAATATGTTAATAAACTAGACTTAAGTTTTAATTTTTTATAAAGACCTAACCTATATATTTATGATAATTTTTTAGCTTACTAGAATCATTTTAAAGTCATAATAGAAAATATATTTCGATTTAAAGGTTTTTGGCGCTATTTTTGAAACATTAGTTTATTTTATTTGATTATACTTTCATTCTTAATGAAAAAAATTAAGTTCATTTATTGGACATAATAATATTATGATACAAACAAGTCTCACATCGATAAAATAAGAGAAGAAATAATAGTTTATAAAACGCACATATACTTCAATATTTGAGAAATCTTTTGGATGATGATCAAAAGCAAACACTACAACACAAATAATTTTTAGCAACATTTGAAAAATATTGCCAAAGTATTTTTGTAACATTTTAATGATATTGCTAAGATTTTGTTAATTTTATAAAATGAATTAATTTTAATTTAGGTATCACTATCAATTATTATATATTTATATGCCTCCTAAACTCTTAGGACTTCTTTAAGAGAAGATTAAAGACATTCTTAGTTAGTCACCATTAATTATATATAAAATATCAAATTTTATTTATCTTAACTATAACTATGTGATTATATACACTTTTTATGAGTCATTAATCTATTTAATGTGTGACTTTAATTATGAGTAACAATTAGAAATAAGAGAAATATATTTTTTTACTCAATGTGAGACTTTGATTTTAGAAGTAATTATAGTAACATTTTTTTTATAAATGTTGCAAAATAACCTATATGAAATTTTTTTATTCGATATGAGACTTTGATTTTAAAAATAATTAGAAAGAATAATATTGAAATAAAAAATGTTATTCTATCTATAATGACATTTTTTAAAAAAGTGTTGCAAAATAAATTATTTATTTAATATATGAGTTAATCACCTATACACTGCCAGTGTAAAGTTTTTTTACACTGACAACCAATTATATCTCTTAATTGTGTCATGTCACTATTAAAAGTAAATGTGTTTACAGTGGCATGACACAATTAAGAGATATAATTGGTTATCAATGTAAAAAAAATTTACATTAGCAGTGTATAGGTGATTAACTCTTAATATATAGTAATATTTTAATAAATGTAAACAAAAAAATGTTGCTAAAGAATTAAAATCTAGTAGTAAAAAATTGTAAAGACTTAGATTCAAAGTGAATAATATCTTATCATTGTAGAATTATGTATTAAATAATCTTATAAAAATAATTCTTATAAAATATCCTGCAAACAAATATCTTAAAATAACTCTATCCCATAAAAACCTTATTTATTAAAAAAATAAAGCCAAAGTTCAATTAAATGAAAATATAAATAATCCATTTTCAATTTAACCATATATTTCTCACAAAATTTCACCGCTCTCAAGGGAAACAATATCATTCTCGATCAAGACTAGAGAAACTGACATAGATGATGTAGCTACTTCAGGCATCATCAACTTGTGTGTTAAATACAAAACTAGGAAATGTAGTTGTAATATCTCTGCCAAGAAACAATTTGAGAGATATTAGATGCTAGATCTTGATGGCAAAACGCTAGTCAATGTTCAACCTAGCTAATGTTGTAACTGTGAAACAAATATATAGATATATTATAAGAGTTTAATTATGGTATACTGATAATGCAATAATCTAATTATATAAATAATAAATTTATTAACTTTTATAATAATTATTTTAAAAGTGACATAAATCTTTATTTTTTTTATATTTTTATTAGTTGATTGTGTAACATTTTTTACTGATATCACTATTAAACTAATGTTACAAATGTTTCCTAAAACAAGATCAAAGTCCACTTTATTTAAATACAACATAGACCAAAATTTTTATTTATAAGTTAACTTATGATGACTATTGACTATTTTTCATTTTTTTATTATTCTTGAGTTTATCATTCTTTTTATTTCAAAATAATATATTGAGTTGTCAGGTCTTTAACAAAATAGAAATAAGCAAATACTTATCTGCAAATAGTTCAAATAACTAGTTTCTGAGATAAGAGTGAATACATAAAGAGGTCACATTAGTTTAGTGGGGGCATGCATAATTTTTCTATAAACCTATTAAATTTATTTAACAAATTTTGGATTGTTTAAGAATTTAAAACTTTTCCTATAAAAAGTATATATGAATAACTTTTATCCTATTTGTGTCATTAAGCCATAATTGTGATATAATAATATAACAGGCTATTTTAACAAACTAACATTCACTTATATTAATATAAACTTACGACATTTGGTGTTATAAGCAAAAAAAGAAACTCACTTAAGATGCTGAAGAGTCATATGTTTTAGAAGGGATGGATGATGCAAGACAAGGTTTCGCCACTCTTCCTTGTCAATCTTCCCATCATGTTTTGTATCAGCTTCCTCAAAAGTCTGAATAGCTCAAGTATTATTAATGATAACTCTATAGAAAATATTATAATATCACAAGAATGACCTAGTATCATCATCAAGTCAAGAAACATAATTTACTAGGCTCACAAGAATATATGGCTAATGAAGCTTTACTTTATTTAGCAGAGAAATTTAGCTCAAATTTGGTTCGTAGATGAGAAAAATGTCTCATAGAGAATACTTAATTGTCTCACTAATCATCGATTACTATTATATAAGACATAATGAAAGACAAATTTATACCACAAAAATAACACATTAGGGAAAGGACAACTACTAACTGCTCCTAAAAGCTATGTATTGGTTATGCGTGCAAATGCAATAAATATAACTGGCATGCTTGATAAAATTGTTTTTACTTCCTTAGATTATATCAAGAAGAATGAAAGGATAATAAATTTCACACACTAACATAAAATAATCAAGCATAAAATGAAACGAGAGAACAAAAAAAAAGAGAAGAAAATATTGATGCTTTAATATACCAGGACTTGTGAATGCAAGATTAGACACACACACAATGAAGTTGTAAGATAAAGAAACACCTTGTCAATGATGGATTCAACCACGTCATCTGGAAGATTCATGCCAGATTCAGCTAGAGTGGCCACCACCATTTGTTTTAACTATACATACAAAGACAATGACCATCGGTGCATATCCACTATATGTTTGTACAAAAAGTGTGTTGGAGCAAACAAACTCCAAGGAAATAATGAAACAAATTACAAAAATTTATCTATGATTCTAAAACATAATTTTTACTTCATTTGAAATTAAGTTATGGGTAAACACTTAAGTTTATGAAAAAAATAGCAATATTTTGATCCTAAATATGATCTTATTTGGAGAAGCTTCTTTATAAGCATTTGTAAGAAAAGAAAATAAAAAAAAAAATTAATTGAACTTTCTTTACAAACTAAAATCAACGTATGCATTTAACTTTTATAGAAGCTTCTCGTCTAACATATCGGGGAAACTTAATTTATTTTTCTTTCTATAAATGCTTATAAAGAGTTTATTCAAGTATGGTCAAAATTGGTTATTTTTATTAGAAGAAAAACTATTCAATTGCGAACACATTCCATCCATGTTTCTAACTACATGTCTAACAATACATTATCCAATGCGTCTAGACTATTCTTAATTTGCCATCAACAAGCTTCGACAAGAAATTATGAAAATGTCTCAAAATTATGAAATTCTCTCAATAAGCAATTACTAGAGCTTTAGACAAAGTTGCTCAATATTACAAAAAAATTGTCACATAGTGACACATACCTTATAGTGATACTATATATGTCACTAAAAATTATTTTTACTCACACAATAACTATAATATTTATTGGTATATTATTAAAAAATGTAAGTATAGGCTATAGTGACAAACAAAATATGTTATTAAATCTCATTCAAAATCAACACTAAAATTGTATGTAACTATATGTCAAATAGACATATACTTACATATATTATATCTATAGTGACACTTTTTGTATGTCACTATGTGTAACATTTTTTGTAGTGCAAATCTACCTATGAAAACTCTAACAACCTAGAGTCGCTTTAAATTCAAGGCATTAGACAAAAGAATTGAATAAATACATGTAATTTTGAGCTTTAGAAAAATGTTACTAGTTATTGATGAGTTAACAACAAATAATTATCTCACACATTGATTGATAAGTAAATATTAGCATAACACTTGGACTATTGAATAGTAGTCCTACATGCTCAGTGATGAAAACCCTATTCATTCAACGTTATATAGGAGAAAATTAAATTACCTCTTGTCTCTGAATAAATCCTTGTTGTCTAAGATCATACAATTGGAACGAAACTTCAAAAAAAAAAAAAAAAAGGAAAGTTAGGAACCAACAAGCATATAGATCACTACCCATAACAAATAACTATAATATTCTATAACCACTCTTGCGTTTCGAATCCTTAATAACTTTGTTGGCTATAATATATCTAAAATCCTAATAAATATTAGAGACTCTTACACTCAATCTTATCATCAATTGATGCGTTGGGATGAAAGACAGAGATAGCAATTGCAAACTCTTTGAATTTAAGCATCCCATGATGGTTTTTGTCAAAGGAATCAAATACCTACAAAATTTAAAAATATAAAATCATGAATAGAACAAATGTTTTTCTAAGTGAGATCATATCAGGTGTATGTGATATAATGTCAAAGTAATTGGATCACGAGATCACCCAACCATCCAACTAATAAACAAAAAAAAGGTTAGATAAGGTCGTCATATATATAGGCCATAAAGTAACTTGATGAAATTATGAAATAGGTCATCAAACTATTTTTTTTTTCTTTGAGTGAGAATGTTAATAGAAGTTGTAGACAAAAAATAAGAAATTAAAGCTTTTACCCTATCTGCAAATAAACTCTCTTTCTTGGTTGTCTTGAATAAGGCAAATTGAAATTCTTCCTGCCATATGTAAAATAAGGAACTTATGATTATATAGGTAATGTAGAAATAATTTCATTGTTCAAAGACAAAAAGATAAATATAATTAAAAAAAAAATCATAGAAGCACAAAGTATGAGATGAGATTACTGACCTTAGTAATTACTCCATCATCAATTATTGTACTATTGATCTTCTTGAATAGTTCATACAGTGCTTCAATCTCACTTACACTAACTACATTTAAAATAAAACAAGTAAAATTCAATGTCTTAATAAGAACCTTAATAACTAAAATGTGGTTAAGTTTATGACATCAAGCGAAATTTTTCCAACCAAACGATTTATAGTCATCAAAGGCCTTCAAAATGTCTCCTATAACTATTTTTATTATCTCTCTTTCAGTCGACTAAACTAAAAATTTTAAAATCTTACTCATTTGTTAAACTTTTACCTTTATTTTTATTAACTCATTTGATCCTCAATAATGTGTATAAGACTACTACTTAACACACAAAACTATATAAATTTAAATAATTGTTGCTAAAGCTTTTTAAAAGATCATGAAAACCAAAAGGGTTTTGCATAACTAGATTCGAAGATAATAAAGAAAAATAAGAGAGCAAATAGATGTTGGAAAACTAACAATGATAATTTAAGCAAATTCATTTATCCAATTTATGTTAATTTGGAACAACTATTTAGTAAGAAAAAAACCACTTGTTTGTTGTGAACTAAGGTTCCAAATATCATATAATAGAAAGAAATAAGGGTAATGACATACAAACTGTTTCTCTTGCAATTGCTTCTGGATTTTGCAAACCTTTAGCCTTTTTGGACAAATCAGTATTACAAAATTTTATCACAGCAGTATACAACTGCTTTAATCCATCTAAGCACCACACCATGATTTTTTTTCCCTGATGTCAAAACACTCCATACCTACAATGCCCCCACACAATAAAAAAAAATTAATTAAATGTACAAGTTTAAAGAAAGCGAATCTCTGAATATAATACTAATAAAAATTACAAGTTATTTTTCTTAACTAAAATAACCTAAGTACACAATAAAAACTTATTATGTAATTTTCACATTATCACTTACATTTTTTAATCAAGGCTGTCTTTTCATATGTTCATATGGATATTGGTCAAACGAAAGATAGGAGAGAGGGGAAGCGGGAGGATAGGAGGAACTTCAATTGATTAATGAAAACGAGGTATTTATATAGAACAAAAGACTACTAAGTTGAACATAAATATATGTAGTTGATATAAGATCCTGATATGATATACAAACAAAAAATGTGGGGAAGTAGGTTAAGATATAAAGTATACATGTTTGAATGACATTGAGTTAATAGGTAAGTATTGTTAACAAATCATATAGGTGAATACTTACTATTGAGTGAAAAAGACACAATGTAGAGTTTAAATTGCTTTTCACTTTAGCCCCATCATAAAAGAAAATATTTCTTGTATTTTAATTAATCCTATTTTTTATACGATTTCAAGAATAAAGAAAAAGGAATTCCTTATCAAATTAATACTAGGTTACATAAAAAAAATATTATTGATCCAAAGGGAGAACAACATTAATTCATTCGTAAAGATTGAAAGACATCCATGACATGGTCCTTGATATGTAGGTAAAACTTAAAAAAAAAAAAAACACTATAATACTCCTAGCCATTAGTATATAATTTTATCCTAAGCAATAGTCCTTTGCCTAGTCATTGTATTTATGAGTACACTACCAACAGGAATGCAGACAAAAAAGGCACAACAAACAAGTATTGTGGTAAATTCAAATAAAATTGCTAATAAACCAAGCATGAAGTTATGGTATACTAAATTTGACATATCATTAACCATGCAATACCACAATCAATAGGTGAATTCAATGTTGTAATAAAAAATGAAAAATAAATGAAATGTTTTAATCAAAGATTTAATGATAACATACATATAGTTCCCATTATAAAAACTTCATTAACCATTCGCTTTGGAATGCCACCTTTTTACCATCACCATCACGCTCATACTCAAGAATACAATAGGCATGAAAAAGGATAAAAAAAAAAAATATTAAGGATTGACAACTTTAATATTTTCTTTCACGATCTCTGAGGAGTGAGGCCAAAACAAGTATATTACAAAACAACAAATGCATATATAATTGGTATAACTAGAAGCAAATGTTTGCTCAAATCCTGAAATACCAGCCAAAATCAATAGAATCGTTAATGATATAATTTACATTTCATTTAAGAAACTATTGAAGGAAGCTACCAACTACCGTCGTAATGATACGATATGAATTATTGAATATCCAATTATATTCATACAATCTATGAAACAAAAGGAAGAAAATAGGTGATAATGTTTATTGATAAATTAAAACATGTGCATATATACACAGGCATAGTATTTCCATGTTGTACATAGCTAGTTAATAAATTTACAGTTTCACTGCTAAGAAAGATATAACTCTAACAATAAAGAAAACATGTTTATATCAATGTGTTTGGTTTTGGTTACCCATTCTTGACGTGAAATTTTGTGTTACCCAAAAGTTTTTCACTATAACTTTCATGTTTTTACTATTTGGATTGGTTTTCTATGTTCCAAATGCATGTCGGCCAAACACAACTAACAAATGTTATATATCTATCATTACTTGAAAATCATTCTGGACTTGTCAAAACAAATTCACCGAAATCTTCACTTCTTAAGACAAATATTTAAAAACAACAATTATGAAAAGCATAAACATGATCCTAAAGAAACATACACACGTGTTTAATCTCCTAACTAACTAGGCTAAACAATAAGTTAAAAGCAATCATAATTATTGATTAAAACAATAAATTTAAAAACTACTTACAAAATCTAATAAATGAAATATCAAAGTCTTAATGTACAATACAAAATTCACACTTTCTTCTTTACAAACATCAATCAAGACATACAATTTTGTGATACCATACTCGACTCTGAATTGAATATTTGTTAAAATTTCAAAATGACACTTTTGAGAAGTATTAAAAAAAAAAAAAGTAACACGGACCATGCCATATTAAATAGAATATTCTTTTTGATAACTCATTAAACAAAATAAAAAATTAGAGTTTTCAAATTCTCCATATGAATTAAATATAATAAAAAAAGTCTAACAAACAATAGAGAAGAAGTAGTGCAAAAATGGGTAAAAATGGAGTAGTGGAGGTTTACCTTTCAGAAAAACCAAAGAAGGGAGAAGGGGTGAACATATTTTTGTATGTTATTTAGCATTAAACTAAAAATGAGGAAGAATTTTATTTTTGTATTTATATTTATTTTTCATAAAAATATTATTTATTTATGGGGAAAATAGGATTTTGCTTATATATAGCCACAAAAATTATAGATATAAAATAATTTTCAAAAATGGTAGAATTGTGATAATGGAAAGAAAAATATGGAGATAACTGAAACAAGTGTAATAAATCATTATCGTATTTTGGGATACCAGTTTTGATGAAGAAGAAAGAAAAGTCAACTTTGAACGTCAAAAAATATGAATATGGTTGACTGGCTAAGAAAGTTGTTTCAAAATCAATGATATATGGCTATTGACCAGTGGTTGTTGATTTCCGTTTTTGATGGGTGGTTGAATCAAGGAACCATATTTAGTAATAGTAATGATAATTATCATTCCAAAAAAACAAATGTTATTGGCAATTATTTTATATTTGGTTTTAAACATATTATAACTTATTGAATTCTAAATTCACATTTTTAGTATACATTTGAATAAAATTTATTTTAGATTGTGCTAAAAAGAAAGTATGTGAATATATATTAGTGACTTCCCTCATGTAACTATTTTGTTTTATATTCATATTCTAAACAAAAATATTAAATGAGAATGAAACAATAAAAAATTAAATGTCTTAAAATCTTGTTTGGATTCGTATTTTCTTAATTGCTTAATTAGTAAAATTAAATTATACAAAAATTAATAAATGATAAACTAGACTACAAAAATATATAATGACTTTTTTCTTGAAAAAAAATGTAATGTCTTAAAAGTTGTCTTAAAGGATTTAATATTTTTTAAAAAAAATTTGGTATCATGGTATTATCTATCAGCTTTGTCAAAAATTAGTCTCACACAATATCTTAACTGAATTAAGGCTATCACTCTCATCATTTTTTATCAAATTAACCCAACTTAATATTTTAGAATCTAATCAATTATTTGATAATAATATTATTAATGTGAAGTATTCATTAACCTATATCACAAATCTAATTAATTATTTTTAATAAGATTTTTCTCTACTATACTTTTTTCAACCACAAAAGTTAAAACTCAAATTTGAAATCATGCTAAAAATAATCGAATCCAGTTTCACTTGTAATGTGAACTTGTTGGTAAAATAGTTTATTAAACTATTGCGCCATTATTATTAATATGATTTATTAAAAGCATATGAAATATTCATTTAATACGAATAATCTTATATATTTCAACAATTATACACTATATGCTCATATTTAATTATAATGGCAAGCATTAAATAAAAATCAATATTCACAAAAAAAATTAATTATTAATAAGAATTATGTTTTTACTTATTTTTACTTAATTTCATTTTCATAAACCTTCTTTGTATAATTGATAGATCCATCATTAAATTGTTAAAATTACTGATTAATTAGTAATCCATTAATTGAATCGTTGTTGGATTAGGATTCAAACAATATTATTTAAATACTTTTTTTTTGACAGAATAATATATAAATACTTAGTGATCTATTAACATAAAGTTATAAAAAGTAAAATAATTAAAATTTTAAATTAACATAAAAGAATGAATTGCATATCTTATAAGACAATAATTAATTAATTAATGACAATTTATGCATAAAACTTGTATATAAGACTACACATGTATATATAAATTTAAGAAGACTTAAAAAAAAACTATTAAAATCAATTTTCGAACACTACTTCTTATCTAATTTTGATTGATCATCTTAATCAAATTTTCACTCCACTAAATTCTAAGTTATTCGAAAATGTGACTAAATTGATTTATAGTATAGTGAAACCAATCAAGCTAATTTTATTTTAATCACAAGACATTAGATAATATTTAATTTATTCTTCTTGTAATTTTAGAAATTTAATTAGACAACTCCTTATACATTTATGAAAGATTTATAACTCACTCTTTATATTAAATATGAACTATTATATTGTATGAAAGTGTTTTTAGAAATGTTTTTAATTTCTTATCTAAGTTAATTTTTATTTATGATATTATTGAGATGTAAGCAAAATTTCACATTGTTCAAACAAAAGGATATATATATATATAAGTTTATATACACACAATTATTTTTATTGGTCAAAAATCTTTTGAGTGATGTCTTAAAGTAAAACCATGAAGACTTAGACTAAAAACAAATAATATCTTAGTCGTTGATTCGACCAAGTGATTAACTCAACAAGTATGATGGAGTTGGTAAATGGATATAAGTAGATGATTCTTTGTATCAAATGTCTTCTTAACGATGAGTCCATATATGGAGGAGTGTCCTCCCAGTAACATGGAAGATTAAGAGCTATCGTGAGTTAACACGATTAGGCTCTATAGGTCACCATCGGATAATACAGAAGGTTAGGAGCTATCGTGAGTTAACATGACTAGGCTCTATGGGTCACCATCGAATAATACTTGTGGTCAAATATTTTTTAAGTGATGTCCAAAATCAAAACTATGGCCTAAATGACCGATGTACAACATATATGAATTAAATTTTAATATTTTTAAAATAAATTATTAATAAATAAAAATAATATTATGCTATTATATAAATTATTTATCATAAATATAAAATATAATTTATATCTT